CCCCCCCAATCTCAGGGGGCAGGAGCATGCTGCCAAGCGAAATCCTGGGGAGCTCTCAGCACTTGGCAGCTCCAGCCTCTGCTCATAGGTCCCACTGCTATGATCTATCCAGGAATCCCACAACTTTTGTAGGAGCAAATCCAAGAATTAAAATTAACTTCATGCCATTTGGTAATAACATTAAATAAAACTGAATTGGGGGCAGCCCCACCAGCTTGCTTGATGCCCAGCTCTGCAGGCAGGGTGTATCATGAAGCAGAGGTGTTGGCAGTAAGAAAAGTCCTTTTTCCTGAGAGAGAGGAATATTAAGGGGCCACTGGCAAGCAGAAGCTGCAAATACAACAGGCTTTGATTTTTATCTTTGATTTACAAAAGTCTCCTATTATGAACAGTCTGAGCTCGCCAGAGCCTGGTGCCACCCTGAGGTGCCCGCAGCAGCTGTGGTGACAGGGCTGAGAGGGAAGCCGGGCGCTCCTCTCTGGCCCTGCTACGGCTTGGGCATGGTGAAATCCCACGCTGTCTCCTGGGCACATTTCCACATTGCCCGCATGAGTCGTGTGAAGCCCATGTCCTTGGGCTTCTCCAAGCCTCTCATAAGGCGCTGCTTCATTATGGCAACAAACTCCTTGTTGCTCAGCTCGCCATTTCCTGTGAGAAGAAAAAAAAAAAAAAAAAGCGCTAAAAATCCACCAACTACCTCCCCTCATGCACTAACTTTAAAGGGCAGCAGCCACAAGTGCCATTTCTTGCAGAGACTGAAATCACGTTTGGCTGCAACCTCCCAAAATATCCCACTGTGCAAGGGCTGCTGAACCACAGCATTTAAATCCCGACACTGCCCTGCTTAGCCTGGCATGGCCACATATTGCAGGGCCTGGACTGCTGGGGCTTGAAGACAGAAAGGCAAATGCAAATCAAATGCCCAGGCACCCACAGGAAACTCTTTGCTTTAAGTGATTTAGGAAATGACAGGAGCACAGGGTAACAGAGCACAGATTTTTCTTAATGGAGAAGGGAGGATTCATTTATCTTGTGAGGTTATTGAGAATTATATCAAATAAATGTATGTTAAAAATTATTATAGTAAATTGGGGCAAATTTTATTCTGTAGTTGCTTAACTACCAATAAATTAAAACGTCTGGGATTTTTATTTAGGGCACTGGTTGATTAGAGGGGACAGCAGCAAGCCACAGCACAACTGACAGCCTGATGCCTGCCTGCTGAGGGGCTGATGCCTTCTGCCACGATGCCATGTGTATCCTGTTGCCTGTTTCGCTCCCTTGCCTATGGCAAACAGCTGATAGCTCTGATTTTACCTTCTGGGGAGCAGCACAGGAAAGCAACCCACCTTTGGGCAAAGAAGAAAGATGAGGGACCTCAACCCTCAAGAAGCAAACCTGCCATTGGTTCCCCAGATCAAAGGGGAGAGAATCTCTCTGGCTGTTACAGGGAACCACATCATTATGTTTCATGAAAGAGTTTCTTCATTTGACAGTGTTTTTGCCTGCCTACAGCCGAATGCAAATATGGGCAGCAAAATTCAAACAAACTATCAGGAGGTGAGTAAAACTCCCGCCAGTGCTGAAGGTTTTTGATATGTTCATGGTAATGTCTATAAACATTGATGCAATGAAAATACACAAAAAAGAGAGGTCTGTGCCACTTGATTCATTCCTTACAGGGACTGCTCTGGCAACCACAGTCTTTCCCCCTAAAGGTTTGCTATCAAAATATTTAGCAGATTGTCCTATGAGAGAATGTAAACAGAGAATATTTGGCTACGCTTCGGCTCACTCTCATCTCCAGCCTGATCATCTGGCTTGAGGATTGTATCACAAAGTGGCACTGAAGCACAGAGAAAAATAAAAGAGATGCAATCTTAGAAAGGTAAAAAGCAGCAGGTGGGGCTGAAACCAAGAGAGTCAACAAGCAATAAAACAATTAAAGTGGTTTTTTTAAATATATTTACATCAGGAAGCAAACAACTATTTATGCATCACTGCTGCCGCTCAGAGCTGCCAGATCCCAGTGACTGCGCTGGAGAAGCAGGGTGCCAGCAAGGTCTCTGGTTATGGCTTGACAGTTTTGGGCAAATGCAGAATTTTGCTGCTTTCCAAGACTGAATAGCTGCCATCATCCCCTGGTGGCAAAGACTCCACGAATTCTCATTAAATCATCCTGAGACTGTTTCAGTCTGGCAACAAGCTACCCCCAAGTGCTCGCATCCTCTGTGGGCCAGCAAAGCAACAAGCTTCCCAGCCAGGCAAAAAGCTGCCATTAATTAATTAAGCTAATATTTGTTGAGGACTTTGGAGATAACAGAGTACCAGATAGGCTTGTTTCCTACACTGGAACCCAACAGGTCATTTTGTTAAACAAAATAGAGGTTGGGGGGTGGGGGGCAGGGGGAAAGCAAGCTGTGTAGCAAGCTGTGCATGCCAAACGCTTAAATCCAGTGGTTTAGGATCAACATTTTGGAAGCTGGGTACCATCAGATACCCTTCCCAGAAGGGCAGGAGCATCACTACAGATGCATAGCCAAAGAGCAGATGGTAGCATGGCAAGGAGAGCCAAAACCACGGCAAGCTTTCACAGCCAACACTTCTTCCCTGTATTTCTTCCCCTGGATTGACTCACCCACCCTGTGCGAGAGGAATGGGGTGAGGTCGGGGTCACTCACCGTCGCAGTCGAAGAGAGCAAACACCACGTCGCACACGTGGTCAGAGAGCTCCACCTTGGCCACTGTCCTGGCCACTTGCTGCATTGTCACTACAAGGGAGGGAGGGGAGGGCACAAGGTTAGCGAGGTGTCGTGATCTGCCAACCGCAGCGAATGCAGGCAGAGCAGCAGGAGACTGCCTTTACGTTCCTCCCCGGAAAACTGCATTTAAGAAAACATGTCATGTTCAAAGAGGCTTGAAATAAGCTTCATCCCCAGCATCTTCAACACAAGCCTCAAAACCAGGCTCCTCAAAGCCTTTGCCATCCTACTGCAACACTGCACAGTGTGTGGAGAGGCTGCTGGTGAGCACCGACGTGCTGATACCTGTGTGTTCAAGATAAAACCCCTGAGATACGATATATTTTCCCCTCTTTGGTTACAAAATCAAAAGAAATGTCAGCACTACAGCAAACACAACGTGGGAAACCTCTCCTGACAGGCTTGATCAACAAGGCAGCTCCTTCTGACAGTGTCGCAAAGATGATACTCTAATGAACCAACTGTTCCAACAGGTTAACAATACTAAAAACCGGTTTTCCTGTTAAGCAACCCAGGGCCAATAATTACAGAATGAACCCACCCACCCTCACCCTGTGACAGGCTCTGCAGCGAGCAGACAAGGTTAATCCTGCAATAAAATAAAGAGTTGTAACGAATTATTTCACTTCCTCCTCGAGACTGGCAGCTGAGCTCATCAGCAAAGCAGCGAGTGGTAGTTTTGCAAAGAAGTGAGTGGTAGTTTTATCACGCCTCTAGAAAAGAGCAATCTGTGGAGCTATCAATCTGGTAGGGTTATGCAGTAGATTTTGCTGCATAAAGGGGAAGAAAAAAAAACCCACATCACTGGGCTTGTTTAGCCATTTCCCTACCTGAATTCAAGTGCATTTGGCTGCCCTCTAGTCTCCCTTTGATGCTGCTAATTGAAGGAAGGAGGGGAGGTAAGAGCAGCTCAGTTGTCACCGTTTGTCAGGGCTGAAACACGCTGCTCCCTTCCAAATACTAAATAAAACAGAAGGGCTTCTCATGAACGTGAGCATTCTTTAAGTTAAATTGCTTCCCTACAAAGTCTGACCTGAGGAAACCCCATCTGGGGAGACTCAGTGCCGTGGCAACGGGCCCACAGCAACTGGGATGAACCTTTAGATGCAGAGCTCCCCTTCAGCAAGGCAAAAGAGGGAAGTGGTGCAACACAAAATCAGATTTAAACCAAGAAAAGCCTCTGCTGCCATCCATGGCATGCTTCTGGGTTCCTGCACTCTAGTCCCTTCGCAAAGCTATTGGCCCTTCAGGAATTTTGAAGTTATGTGTCAAAAAAGAAAAAGCAAGCACCCTATCTATACTGTAACCAGATAAATTAGAAACTCCACAAAGTGTTTCTAATAGATTTTTTTTTTTTTCCCCATGAATGTTCAGATTATTGGTTCCTTCCACTTCACTTTTGCTCCCCTGAGTGAGGTTTGAGGTTTTCAAGGAGGAATCCACAGCCACCATCAGGTCCTTTTCCCTTATAAAAATCCCTCTTTCTACTCAATAATGCAGAAGGAAACTGAAATTAAACAGCAGGTGGATTAAAATATATATACTCTCAAGCAGGCACCTGCTGCTTCCCTGTAATTATTCTTTTTGAGTTAAAATCCTTTCCTACATGAGATGTAGATCTGGTCTGCAGTCCCTACTCTACAGTTCAGTTCTGTCACCATAAATCAGGATACGGCCACTGCTCCTATGCGTGTCCTGCCAGCAGCCAGAGCCTGGCTTTGGGGAGGGCAGAGGCAATGTAATCATTAAAGAAAACTTGCATTAATTTTGCTCTCTATGCCCGAACCTTGCCAGCCTAGCTGTGGGGAGACAGCATGCCTCTCCCAGCCCACCCACACCAACCAGGCTGCAGAATATACTGCGGCACAGCTCTCAAGAAAACCTGGAGAGCAAAGGAAATGGGGGAATTCACATTTTGAGCACAAGGACAACCACCACATCTGTGCATCCCTTTCTTTACGTCTCTCTTCCAAACACACACAAACTGGCCAGCAAGTGCAACATGGTCAAGTGAACGTCACACAAGCGAGTGGGCACATTAGATGGCAGCAGCCCTCCAAAAAGGGCCCTAACGGGCCACCACTCAGCTCACACTGACATCAAATGCTCACAAATTAAATGACAAAGCTGCCTTCAGCTTTTCCCCCTTGATCCGAGAGGGAGGGACTGCTGGCCAGCATCACACATACCCCAAACCAGAGGAGAGGGTGACTATAAATTGCACAGGCATAACACAGTATATATAGGTCCTCTTTGATCAAATGCCATGAATATGAAGTGGCAGCAAATGCTGGAACTGAATGGTGGATGGTGTAGTCCTTTATAACAAGATAAATCCTCTGCCTCTGCACTTTATATATGCTTTTGCAAAAGGCACATTTCTCCTCCCCAATTAGGCCATTCTCCTTCCCTAAATACTGCCCTGGCTCCAGCCAGCTGTAAAGCATGTGCTGTAACTCCTACCTGGAACATGTGTTGCTGGGGACTTCAGCAACATGTGTAAAGCTCAAGGAAAAAGAAGAGGTTTACGTAAAAGAAAGAGCTTATCTAGACTTATTTTTCAGCTTATTTATTCCCCAGAAAGTCCTGCTGGGGAAGTACTGTAAAACAACTCAACTTTGGCCAAACAGCAGAAGTTTTCAGCACTGTAAGCTATCCCTTACCCGAGAGCCAGACTTCCAGACAGCAAAAGCAAATCAGTATCTCCTCAGACAGCAAAACTGAATTTCATTTAACTCACTTTAAATGTAAACCTTCCTTAAAGGTGCTCAAGCAAGCTTTGATACCATCCCCTCTTCCTGGTGACCTGGGCACCCTACTGCAGAAGTTATTTGCCTTGTATGGAAAAAAAAAAAAAAGTTAGAATTTCTTTAATTATAAGTCATGTTTTTCTGTGGAGTTTTCGCCCCCCTCCTTCCACCTCTACAGTGTCACCTGATCCTTCCCCTCTTCTTCCAACATGTGCTTATTCTTCGCAGTTGCAGATTTACCAGCTGAAATTTGTAGTTATGGCTGCAGTTACTGCTTCCTCTCTTATTAATCCAACTGCACAAGTGTCACCCTCATCACATTGTTCTTGCTCGATGCAAATTTCTGCAAAAATGTTACTTCACAGGGGGTGTGTGACTGTGCTGTGTCCAGTAATGATTCTGCTGGTTTTTAAGGAGTCATAAGGAAGGGGAAAGTATCTCTGCTTTCCACTTTGACACACATGCTCCAGACTACAAGGTATCTCAGTGAGGCAAATAAAATTGAAGCAAACCTCACAGCATCATTTCTTTACCACTTTGCAAAACGAAATAGGTACTCTCTGTGGAAACATCTGAAAAAGAATCTTGTCCAGATTTGGCGTTTTGGGATGACTGCATCCACTCTACATGAGTAAGTCTCCTGGATTTTATAGCACTGAAAAAGAGTTCCACGTTTCTACCTTGAAAAGCTATGCAGCTTTTAAAATTTCAAGTCTTATTGTCTCTCACTGGTTCCTTTAATGAGCCATCTGAGTTATTTTATGCAAGTTTAGTGTCTGACACGGTTTGGTTTTTTTTCTTTTTCATTCCAATTCCCAGAACTGTACCATAATGCCTCACCAAGTGCTTACAAACAGGGCTTTTCTATGGGCAAGAGCCTAGCCAGATGGCAAACTTCACTTTTTTTCCTTTGTCTAGAGATTAATCATACATTTGGCCAAAATAAGGGGCAGCTGGACTGCTGCCTTCATTTCCCAAACAGCACCTGGGGTGATGAGAGCAGGGTTCCCTGCCCGGGGCGGTCCCAGGCTGCGGAGGCAAGACATGTGTATTTTGGGCTCCCAGAAATCAGGCTATGCAGGGTCTCACATCGATACACACATTTCATTTTAAGCATCCCAGCTGGAAACGCTGGATGCCATCACTGACAATATAGCTAGCAAAAAATCTATTTAGCTTTTCTCAGATCCTTTGCATGTGTACATACTGGAATATCCATCCAGAAGAGAGATGTACAAACCCCATGCAATCCTGTGGCACAGCACATTTTTCTTTTTCTTCTCAAAACATAAGGCTGCAACCCTGCAGCTGAGTAGAAACTGTTTTGACATTAAAGAGAGCATGATGGAAAGTCATGGAGATCATGCTTCTGGGAAAAAGCGGAGCTACCAGGCTGAAGGCAGAGCTGATCCACTGTTTATGTAGCATTTGCAACCATAAATAAGTAGAGAAACGAGGTTCCAACACAGAAAGTGGTTTCTAAACTGAAAGGTATTCAGCATCTTCCAGGGGCTCTTTATCTATGGAGAGCTTGTCCTCAGTGTTACTGAGCTGATTTCTTAAAGCCTTGTGGACAGGTGTCCTCTGCTGTGACAGAGCTTTACCCAACAACTCAGTGCTCAGCAAACACCGCACCATAACTGTGCATGTACTACAACCAAAGGGTGGGAGAGCTCCAGATCAAGTCCTGCTTGAGGACACCGTGCCAAGCACTTCCACGGGCCCTCCTCATCAGGGGACACACACACGTGTCAGCATGCTGCTGTGAGGACAGAAAAGGTGACGAATGGTGACCCTGACTTGCCTCTGCAGGACACCAGATTTCATCAGTCGACTCTTCTCCTTACTAATTATCACAAGTACTCATCCAGGCTTTCTTAGGTGCCCAGGGAGGCTGTGGCATCTCCATCCTTGGAGACATCCAAAACCTGACTGTAGGTGGCCCTGGGCAAGCTGTTGTAGGTGACCCTGTTAGACTAGAGGGTCTCTAGAGATCCCTGCCAACATCACCTACCCTACAGAAGTCCTCCCCACCCAACTACCAGCATTGACACGTGCCATGACTCCAGAGGAGCAATCTGAGCTGTGCCTCCATGGGGGACTGGCTCCTTTCATTCAGGTCTGAAGGCAGATTAAAGTAAGCAGCAGTTCAATGACAAATATGTGCTGCACTCAAAACTCACCTCTACCTCCTTCCAAACTCCCTGTCAAGTCTGCCGCTGTTTCAAGCTCCACACTTCAAATAAAACAATCTTCCATCAACCACTCCTGGGCTCCAGCCGCACTCTGAGCCAGCCGAGCCACCGGAGCAAGCACTGGGCTCAGCTGCTTCCCCTTGCTTTGGCCCATCTCTAGCAAAGTGCATCTGTGCCTTGCCCTAAAACACGAAGGAGCTCTACCATGGCTCTCTGCTGGCGCCAGCAGAACGGCTGCTTGGAAAGACTGACTGCAGACAGTGCCAAAAAAAAGTGCAATTCACACTCTCGCCTTGAAAGGGGAATAAAGGATGAATTCGGCTCCTGTCCTGCTGCCAGCTGTAAGCCCCGGATGGGAAAGTTTTTAAAGTAATGCTTATTATTTAAGAGAATGACAGCTATTATGTTTCTGGTAAAATGAAAGATGGACTAACAAATAATCTGTGTGTTATTCTCTGGGTCATTAAAATACAGGTTTATGATCCTTTTTAGAAGAAGAGGCTACTTTAATTCAACACATAAAACAAGTTGTCAAGCTATGGCTGTTTGGTGCCATCCATTTCTTCTCCTCTTAAAGTTTAAATGACCCCTTTAAAATTATAATAACGTTTGCTGCATTAGATTAGCAGTGATTTATTTGATACACAAGCTATTCTCTTCCTCCTCCCCATATGATGAGTAATTTTTACATTTGTTGGTTTTTAATAAGCAACCTTGTGAAAGCTTGACTTTTGGAAGAATACACCCCATTTATTGCTTCCTTGATTTGTGGGTGCAATATCCAGGCTTGGAGTGCCCACATATGGAAATGGATAATGCACAGACAATTTAGCAACAGGAGCACACAGATCTCTGCTGCAAAGCCTGGGTCTATCGCTGCAGCTTGCTCTGCACCTCTGTCAGGACCACAGCAAAACGCTCTCCTCACACCTCCTGGCCAGAGCATCTTGGGGTTGAGCAGCACAGAAGGACGTGCGGGGTGATTCCTGTCAGCTACCAGACACACACAAAGAGGAGATCTGCAGGATAATGTTCCTCTTCTGCCCAGGGAAATCCCTCCTAACAGCAGGGACTCTGCAGGCAGGGACGTGGGCCTGGGGACAACCACCAGCAGTGTGAAGCCATCCCCACACACCACCGACCCTCCCCAAGGTCTACTGACTGCAGCCAAACACTCCCAGCTCAATGGCTGTGGCTCCTGCCCAAGCTCATTAATCGCACATAATTAAACAGCAATCACACTGATTTACCAACTGCATGTGGACCTCAATACTCCACAAATACATATTTCATGATGGGGCAATCACTAATTTACTGTAGACACCGAGTAAATTGGATTTGCTGGGCTATTACCTCCTCGTGGGATGCTGCAGAAAGGGCTCTGCACAGCAGCAGCACATACATACTTCATATTTTTACTTTTAAATGAAAGAAAATCCTATCAGGTTCTTTTAAGTCTTAAGATAATGGTGATCTAAAACAAATAGTACAGATTACTTCCCCCAAAAATCAAAGATGAGAAGGGCTGCTGACGCAAGAAGAGATGTGACACATCTGACTCCCTTTGTAATTCCACAGCCCAAAAACCTATTAATGTCTTAATATCCCCACAACAGCAGCGGTTGGAAGAATAGCTTACTTCCAAAACATTTAATTTTGCAGCTGCCTAAACACATCAGATTTAACTTTCTAGTAGGCAAGAGTATGCACTTAGCCTAAAAAACTTTTAATGAATTTGCCATCTTTATTTTCATATTCCCAGCCTTAGTGTTTTAAAAACACATCTCTTTAAAAAAACATAAAAATCTATAAAACAAAAGCATGCACTTGTGACAGACCCTGGCAGCAGAGCACTGGACTTTTTTTTCCCCAAATGTACGTGTTTTTTCGGTTTTGTTTTTTTAAATTTTTTAAATCAGTGTGTCAGATCTGAGAACATACCTGATATGGATTAGCTAAGAAAACACATGATGAGATGAAGGAGGATATGGACTGGGCTGATGGATGAACCACACTCTTGCCAAGCTCCCCAGGAAATACCAGCTCTGAGGTTTATTCTGCCAGCGCCTCTGGCCACGTGAAGTCTCTGGACTGTGGGTTGTCTGGAGAGAGTCTGCTCTGGACAGAGTTTAATGCTCAGTCTGGGACCTCAGTGCGGTTCCAGTGCTCCCCCTCCTTCCATCCAACATGCCTGGGAGCTCCAAAAGTGCTTGGCATTGCTTGGATTTCAGATCACAAATGCAGCATCTGCCCATACAGCTCTTATTTCTAGGCAAAGCCTCTTTTTTTAAGCAAAGCCCAACAAAGGTTGAACAGTTCCTACCACCAGCTCCACTACTGGTCAGTGCCTCTGCCATGCCAACTACAGAGATCTCTACGGAAGATAGAGTTTGCGAGAAATACTTTTTAAAATACTGCTTGTCTTTGCCAACAATGTTTTTTCAAGTACTTTGTACAAGGATAAAAGTCACTTCATAAGACAGGGATGAAGAAACAACACTGGTGTGCCTGGGATCTGGTAGCAGAGCCTGTGACACTCACTAGGTCATCCTGCCTCTGTGTACATCAGGCCTGAACAGTCCTGCTGAAGATATCACTATGATATCACCACTTACTCATCTATTCAGCCTATACATTTCACCTTTTTTTTCCCCTTCTGTATCTAAAACTAGGGAAGTATAAAACCTGAAATCCCTCTTTATCCATGGACGCAGCAAGTTAAACTTCTCATTACAGAGAGGAACTGCAACTCCGGTACATTTTTAACCTGTCAGCCTGGGCTGTTTGCTATCTTCCCAACTCCAAAGATACAGCACGAGTCGTGCTCTCCCAAGCTCTCAGCGCCTGCCCGTCTCGCAGGTTTTAATACCTTTATCAAGCGAAGCTCCAGCCATGTGGTAAAAGCTCAAAGCTGTGTCCACATCGTTTATGTTCTTCAGAAAAGTGAAGAAGCTCTCCACCTCCTCAAATGTCAGCCCCTAGAACACAGAAAACATGGTCTTATGGTGATGGGAGAAGGAGATTGTGATGCTACCTGGATTACAAACAACAAAGTGACCATAGCCCAAAGCTTCAGCCAGAGGGGAATTCATCTGCACACTCAAAACATTCCTACCTTGGCACTCGATGTGGTTTGTGACCTTTACTTTTGTTAACCACTTCTGCTTCTCTCCTGGCCCCACCAGCTGTGCAGTGGGAAGGGACTTCCCCATACACAGTTGGCAACAGCAGAGACTGAAAAGCATTTTTCTGGCCCTTGCTTCACAGCCAGCTCCCACCCAGAAGAGCAGACACACCGTAAGCCTGTGACAGGGATGCAGGAGACTGCTGCAAGCAGGTTAACTTACGCACCTTCTTTAAGCCTGCACACTTGCAACAACAATAATGAAATATTGTAAACGGGTTGTTTAGTCTGGAGGAGGCTGAGGGGAGACCTCCTGGCCCTCTGCAACTCCCTGCCAGGAGGGGGCAGAGAGGGGGATGAGTCTAACCAAATAATAAGCGATAGGACAAGAGGGAATGGCCTCAAGCTGCCCAGGGCAGGGTCAGGCTGGCTCTGAGGAAGGATTTCTGTGCAGAAGGGGCTGTTGGGCATTGGAATGGGCTGCCCAGGGCAGGGAGGGAGTCCCCATCCCTGGAGGGGTTGAAGAGTCGGGCTGACCCAGTGCTGAGGGATCTGGTGGAGTTGGGAACGGTCAGGGTGAGGTTCATGGTTGGACTGGAGGAGCTTCAAGGGCTTTTCAAACCGGGGTGATTCTGTGATCCTGTGAAATAGTTCACACGCTGCAAGGTATCTCCCAAGAGATTCAGAGATCCCTGAGGGGGATCCACATCTTACCCAGCGTCGCAGAAGGTGACACTGCAAACCACGCGTACAGATGTGCCCCAGTTAGCTTTGGTGGTGGTGGCAGGATCGCTGTCTGCTCTACTTACTGGCACAGTCACTGGGAGCTCGACTCACCCCGGGACTGGTGAGCGGGCGCTTGGTGAGCGCCTACAGCCACGCAGCCAGAGAGTCAGGGAAAGGCACCCTGAGATCCCCCAGCGCTGCACCACTGCATCCCAGCAGAGCCTGCAGGGCAGGGGGTACACAGCACGCTCCTCTCTGCGTGACCCAACCGCGAGGAGCACACCAGCAGAAGGACTGCCGACAAGCACAGCTCCGGGACCCCCACCCTGTTCTACTGCACAACACCACAACTGATTTTATCCACCTGTTTAGCACCAGCACAGCTGCATCAGTGCTGGGACAAGAGCCGCAGCCTCCAAACTCCCCCACCACAGTGACGGCCTGGAGCCAGTGGAGGAGGTAAATCATCACCACAGTAATAACCACTCAGCCTTCCTCTCTGGAACAGACAAATCAGCTTGTCAAGAGGAGTTCAGGTTTGGGCTCTTCTATCCTGTCTAGCACAACAGACTGATATAGCAACTGCAGAACACAGCAGGGTTTCATGGTCTGGATGGAAGAGCACACATTCAGTGGGTACTGTCAAATATAAATTTATATGATCCATTGTAACCTTGCTCAAACTCTTCCCAACAACTTCTAATCAGGGAAGAAGCCACCTATCATCTTCTTGAAAGAAAAAAGCATTTTTTACAATCTTCTCATACAGACATGGTGCCTCTAGAATTGTAAGCAGAAGAATTACAGAAAATTTGTAGCTTGTTGTTATCTTTGCTGTAACTGAGTACATGGCAATGCACTGCTAATGCACGTTGCACAGCATGCACAGTGAAAAATGCAACAGCAGGTTTTGTAAGCCCTGGATTCATGGATCCAGACCAAAAAGGATGAGATAGCAAAATGCACACATGGACAATGGATCTGAAAAAAATCCCCAGTTACTGTACGGGGATCTTTCTTTAAATGCATACCTGCTCTGCTTGCCAAGGGATACGCTAAAAGATGTGTACGGCACAATTAAATAAAATATTGCCCTAGCAAAAAAAAAAACAAAACCCAAACACAAAACCAACAAAAAAATCAGGTATTTCTGCAGGAAGTACTGCAGAGATTGCTCTTTTGTACAACAGACCTAGAGGAGAGAAGATCTCTGTAATTCAGATGCCCATCCGGATGCCCCCCTGCTATGTGTTTCCAGACTGACGTGCTCCCGCCTGGGAGCAGAGCACTGAAAATGAGGAAAGCCTGCAGGAACCAGGAGGCGTGTGGCCACTTTCAGGCCAGCAGAAGACATTGTGCTGTGGCTTACCTGCTTTGTTTGGGACATCTGAGGTTTGCAGTAGTGGCTACAAGGCATCCCAGCAGCTATCCTGAGCAAAGAGCCCCAACTTTGTATTTTCCTGGAATTTTCCACCGTGAAACGGCAGATGTCAAGGCCAAACAGCACTGCTGTCCGTGCAGAACAGCCCCTTGTTTAGTACCAACATTGCAGTTGTATTGTTCCAGCAGGTAACAGGGAAGGGTTACATGCTTACACACCTAAACTTATGCTCATTTCACCAGCTGAAAAAGCAAAAGCAATGATGTACAGGGGCATCCTAGAAATCTGGGCTTTCATGCGGACAGAGATACTCAATCTCTGTAGCAAAAATGCCATCAGTATTATAAAATTTAATATTTTATTGATCAATCCTGTAGTTGAGGCTGGCATGAGTGTTGATCCCTTTCCAGCTACCAAAGTAAAAATAAAATAAGAGACTGGGACAGCCTCAGCACCGACAAGTTGACAGATGAAGGATCGCCTTCATCAGTCAGAAGTCTGAGTATGGGAATTTATCTATTCCCCATCGATGTGTTTGTCAGCACTGCTCAGCTCTTTGTAAGCTATTCACGTCTCCACTGAAAGACCAATAGATGTTTCCGTTATATAACAGGGGCTTGTGTTAATTTGGAATCACCAAAAAATATAAAAATGAAAGCAGATAATCAATTAATACAAGAAAACATGACATTCCCAAAAGCAGGAGTGTAGATTAATGATGTTGGAATATGGCTAAAGTTTAAGATTCAAACCAGAGCTTTAACATTTTGGAGGTTGCCAGGGCTGCCTTGTGCAGAAAAGGTAACTGCATTGGACAATGAAGCTGATGTTTGGCAGATTTCATTAGAAAGCACTCCCAAGGTAAACTGCGTTGCCAAGGTAAAGCTTCCCAGGTAGATTTGGTACAATTATTGACATTCCCCTCCCCGCATCACACTATTAATATTATTTTACTCCCACTTTGGAAAGCAATAGCAGGTCAAAGCCCCTACTGCTTTCAATGTGGAGGGGAGTCACAGCAGATTAGTAAACTGTGCAGATAATGATACTACACTGCTACACAAGTAGGCCAGTGAAGTGTGAAAAGAAGGGATTTGGGGAAAAAATCTTCCTGCAAAATGTTTGCATCGTAAACCTCTCAGACTTACAAGGTGTTCAGTGACTGGAAAGTACTGCAGGATAAATGAAGTGGCTGGGTGGCTTTAATGCCTCTTTGAGGTCTGGGACCTGAAGGGAGAGCAGTGGATAGCACGGGCTCTGCTTTATTATAGGATGGGAGTAAAGTAGAGCCTGACCAAAGCAGCTGCTTGCTTTGTGGATGTCTGGGTTGCAAACACAGAGGAAGATGCAATGCCAGCGTCTAGCTTCTGCAGTGTCTAGTGGGAGAATGTTCTCTGGCTTAATACTCCATTCATCTACAAAGCAAACTTTGCAATGCATCCCTGAATACATTCTCCAGAAAGCTCAAAAGGTGGTTAATGCGACTCCGGGCATGGTAGTCCCGTTTCTAAAGAGGTGGGGAAATTTAAGTTATGTAAAACCACTGACAACTGCACCAGGATGATCCAGTAAAAGTACCTAAGTGTATTTAGACACAAAGTGCTGTGCACAAATCTGCAAGGGTATGATCTTCTAAAATACCCCAAGGCAAAAAAAGAACCCCACAAACTTTCAAGAAAAGGTTCCTTTGTAGAAAAGACAATGCAAAGTTAGGCACCAGGCTGAATTCTCCAAGAGATAAAACCTGCTGAAGTGGAGGATTTCAGTGCCTGATTTCTCTAGCTCTGCATAAGCACTGACTTTCAGCTGCCCTGGCTGCCAAGAAGGCTTATCTGCCTCCAGTGCAAAGCAGCTGGCACTTCCTGCATCCTTTACATCTTCTCAAAGCATTAAATATCTTCTACTTGTTAAAAGAGAGGCTATCTCACTTTAGGATTTTGGGTGTTTCATTCCCCCTGGTCTAAGGAATCACATGTTTTCCACCAATTCTGTTTCTTGAAAATGTAATTTTTTGCCCTATTCCCCAATTTCTCTCCTCAAAAGTCCTTGGAATAAAGAAAGAAAAAGACTTGCTCTGAATCTGGTTATCTGCAAATAGAAACACAGTCTGGCTGATTTGGGAATGAGGAATAAGGTAAAAAAAAATAATTCTTTCTCTGCCACAGATGTCAGGGTCTTGGCTTACACATGAAAGGAAGAAAACACCTGCAGTAAGAAACCTTCTGAAATAATTCCCCCTGCCTTATTTCTCATACTCCCAGCTACTGTTTATATAAACAGTATATATATATATATATATATATATAAAATGCTACAAATTACAGAAAAACAATCAATGGTTTTGGAATGTAACAACAGCTGGTATTTTCTGTTAGACACATCACAGTGGAATATTTTTCCATGAAAAAATCAAACGCTTCCTGTTAAAACTCAAGGGGAGCAAAGGTATTAGAAAAGCCAAATCTGCAGTGTCTCGCTCAAAGATCAAATAAACAGACACAACCTTGAAAACATCAGTGGTCTTATTTAAGCCAGTGACAGCTGGGGAAGTGAGATTTTCAAATATTAACACACAATGCATGTTCAGCTCTAATGACATGTTGACACCATCTATTGATAACAGCCTCTTAAATACTGAGCCTATTTTCCTAAAAAACATTAAGGAATCTGCAAAAAAAATGCTCTTCCTGGCACCCTGAGTCCACGAGAAACTGCAGGTACCATGGCTCCTCTGGCAGGAACACAACTCTGAGTGTTGTCTTATGGCTCACTTAAGAGTTTCCTCCAGTTTTTAACTTTTTGACGTTATTTGCAGTTAGTAGAGACCTATTAGTCTCCCCACTACTTCAATATACTCAAACTCTCCTCCTGCACAAGTGAAAGGGGGAGAAAACGGGGAGGGGGAGTCACTGAAGTGGCTTCACGTGAACTGAGGATTCCTGCACATCACAGGAGTCCAGATAAGGCACCAAAAAGGGACAAAAAAGGATGAGACCCTGACCAAAACTTGTGTTTTAGAACACACTCTGCATCTAAACCAGTTAAGAAACACCAGATCTGATGTCAGAAGGAAGCGCCTCTAAAACAGTCAGACTGACCCAATATGCAAAGACCTTCCATTCATTCTCATTTTGATGTATCACTTGTTTATAACCTAGTTAATAAAAGAACAATCCATCTTCATAGAAGTAGACATGAAATTCTAATACTGAAGTAATTTAGCAGCCCGTATTTTCCTTACCTGATAAAGCACGTCCTTTCGGTACAGATGTCTTATTCCAAGGTCTCACTAAATTAATGAGTGTAGGATCTGCAACCTTATTCCTTTCTAAATCATGAGTAATTCAAATAATTTTTCACATAAGTTAATAACTGAATAATAAACTGCCCAGTCACAGCAGCTAATTATTCCAAGGTCAAGCCAGTAACTAGGAATAAGTCTTCAATGTTTATTCTGGCTCCAGACTCAGGGTGCTGTTCAGCGAATTTAAATTTTGAAAATTACAACATTCATTTTAATAGGAACAAGCCTACATCCTGAGCTGGACACTGGCAGCTGCACTCCCACCTCTTCTACCTCCCTACTGCTGTCGAAGTATTTATTCTCTGCAGAGTCAGTGTGTCTCCCTACACTGCTTAACACGGCGTGGGTGCTTTTCTTAAGACGACGGCATGGTCAGCATGGTGTGGGACAGCTGCCCCCACTGCAACTTCCCGAATTTGCTGTGAATGCCACTGACCTCTCCATCTTGGAAATGTTTCTTGAGCTGCTTCAGCATGACGGTGAGCTTCTTAGACTGCACCCCACTGTAGGCCAGCAGCATGCTGCCAAACTGCCGCTCCGTGATCCGCCCCTCCACTGGGTCGTGCCGCTCAAACTGGAACGGGAGGGAAGAAAATAAAAGGGGGAGATGAAAACAAGACTGTGCAGCAGAAAGCTTCAGCCAAGGTAAGAGCATAAAAAGGCACTATAACAAAAAATGAACATTGCAGGAAACACTTATGAAGAAGAAATCCTAACACACTTGAATATTTCCTCTCCCAAGGACCGTCTCCAACAATGCCAACGTTTTCCCTACATGCTATTCCTTGGACAACTTCTGGAAGAAGTCTTTGTATCTCACCCTCCTAGTTTTATCTCACAGGGGGTCAGAATTTGTAGAGCTGAACATAAAAATGCAGGATGATTACCTTAGCTTGAAACCAAGTTAGTGTCTACAGCTCTCCAAAGGGTTGGAAAGGAAGAAGAAATACTAAGGTGTTCTTCACATGCACTCCAGCTTGGAGGTCTGAATAATCTCCCAGAGAATCTGGCTGCTGCAGTGACCCTTTATGATGGATAAAAGGTTCTGTGCAGGACTGAACTATCACACAAGTGTGTGCTTCAGAAGTAGGGCATGTAGGAGTGGTTCCATGATTGCTATAAAGGGGGATGGTGGTTAACAAGCTAGGAAAGTCTTGCAAAAACTAGGTCTCGTTTTAGCTCTTCTCTGCTCCAAGTCCTGTAGCAGTGTCCCAGCAAGGGAATGTTTATGGAAGTCTCCAGACCTCACCTTCCCCAGTCCCAGAAAGTTCTCCTCATCCTCAGCCCCCTCAGACCCTGTCCCTTTACCAACACTGCTGTGAGGCCCCTGCAGAACTTCCCACAAGACCTTCAGCAGAGGAAGGTTTTATCCATTAATCCATCTCTCCAGCATTACTTTATGTTCTCCTGGTTTTCGCTGCAAGGGAGGAAAGAAGAGCAATTCCACAACTTGGGAATGTGCTGGGCTGGAACACCAGGTCTCTGCTAGCTGAATAAGGCAAACTTCATCTTTTCCTTTCTGCCCCAACTCTTTGTGGCTCTACAGACACCAACGTTAGACTTCAACTGACTTCAGTTTCAGAGATCTCTCAGCATTCAGGATCCCTTAAATTGATTTCCTTCAAATTTATCACAAAACATGACCTACAGATAGCTGATCACAAGCCAGAAGATGACATTTAACAACAAAATTAATTGTTAAACTCCTATGGTACAACTTAGTACCATTGACTTGACATTATATTGCTCAGTGTGTTAACCATTTCTGCTTCAACCACTCTTCTGTGCTTAATTACAGAGCTTAATTACAAAAAACAGCAAGGCACCTAACTGAGATCAAGGTGAGGAGATGAAAGCTGGCAGCTCCACCAGCCTTGCTTTCAATCCTTGCGTAGGCAGAGCTCCAGACACGGCAGCTATATATGCTTTTAATATACAGTGCTTTTCAGCTATGCTATTAGTGACTAGGCTGCTTGCAAACAAGCTATTACAATTCTCAATGGCTAATGCCAAGTTGGGGGTAAATATTTTTCTAATTATTAGCAGATAAGCCAGACTTTCCCTGCTCCTCTCAGTGGGACACTAAGATTTCTACTGCATTTGAAATGCATGAAGCACCAGGGCTGGAGGGGTTTCGATGGACTATGCTGGCAGAAGGCAGCTCCCGACTGGACAAATCCTTACAACCTTGTGCTTTTGCTTGAGTGGCCCACACAGTACATAGGAAAAAGACGGGTGTTTTTTACTGTCATTTGATACAGACTTTGGGGATTACTCACAACACAAAACACGGCCTCTCCCCTTCTCATGTGCTGGGAAAAGGAGACAGAAATCTCATTTGGAGGAAAAGTATGTGTTCTTCATTAAAAAGCAGAAGTAGTTCTTTCTGCATGTTTGAAAAACGTGAAGAAGTTTTACAGTACCCAAGGGACACAAAAATTCACAGTCAGTACTGTTTCAAAAGCAGCACTGATGCTTTCTTCTACTATAATATTCCTGATTTCATCCCAAAAGACACAAACCAGTGCTCTTCTACCAAGAACCTTCAAATACCCCAAGTTCTAGCAGAGCTTTAGGTAGCATCTTTTATTAAAGGATAAGAAACAGGTCCGAATATCTTAAATGACCCTCTTAAGTGGTGAATACACTTAGAAAAGTTGAATCAGCATCTAAAACCCCCCTGGTCCCCCTGCCCTGCATTAAGGAGTGGGCATCGTGCAGCTCCATGGGTAACACAAGCAGCACAGCTCCCTCTGGTCTTGCAGATGGGGAAATTAAAAAGGGCCAAGTCTTCATAGTTTTTTGTAACCAGGCATTCAGACCATGGTCAGATTTGCACTACCAGATGCAACAAAGACCAGAAAAGAAAAATTAAAATAATCTTTTCATCTTCATTTATCTCCTGATGGCTCACACAAAGCCTTTGTGTGCCAACTTTAAGATAAGAAAGTAGGATTATTCTCCAAATGTCACACTGAAGAAGTCTTAACAGAAGCACAATGATGAAACACGTTGTTTCAGCTCAGCTCTCCTCTTTTTTACCCATTTTCAGCCATGACTCCGAGATGCTCAAGGTGACCGCTCCACTGCTGCTGCAAAGGGTCTCAGCAAGCCCTTCAGCTCCCCTCACCTGGGCTTCCCCAAACAAAAGATGATGAAACACACCTACAGTTTAAGGATTACCTGGGGAAAAGTTGGTACATTAAGAATAACACTGCAATTTCCAACCAGTGTTTGCAGCCATGCAGCTGGGAGAAAGGCAGACAAGTGTGCTTTAAGCAGGATTACTGCAAAATTCAATGCCAACTAACTTCTGCATCTCAAATGTCACTACTAAAAACTGATAAATGAAGTTATTTTGCTTAGTGGCACCTATTACTAAACTCTCTTATAGCTAGAGAATAAGCAATAATAATAATAAAAGCAACTTATTTTTCCTGTGATTCACCTTCTCAACTTCTGTTCCCCAGGGTTTTAAGGATTTCCTTGGTGGGAAGCTGCAGCTGGGCTGGTATGTTTAAATAGCCACATGACAAATTTTTCCACCCAAGAGGCTGCCTGATGCCACCTGACACCCACTGATCCTTTTACATTACAAAAACAAAACATACTGGCCCAAAAGTTTCCCAGCAGGCACTACTGTCATGCTTTCAACTATACTCACACAAGGAAGGGACAGGCAGAGGAGTAGCAAAACATGCTAACTCTGGGTTTGGGCAATCTGGTCTAGACCAGGTACTGGGGATTCTTCTGTACTACAGGAACATAAAAATCAACAAGTGCTACTGCATTGGTCGTCAAAGACAGGAGCCAAGGCAGGCAGGGAAAGTTCTTCTGGAGACAAACCTTTCTACAGCATCTGTTAAAAATTACTCCAATATTCAAGTACAATGATCTCACCAGATCTGAGCAGCAGTATTGAAACATGGAGCACATTTAACATGCAGATGCTTGCAGTATGTTTGGCGTCTTGCAAAATTTATTGAAAATGAAGTAGGGCCCGCATCCTACTGCCAGAGCCTGAGAATTGATCACAGCAACAGCAAGAGCCTCACCTGCAGCAGACCCACTGTGCGAGGAAAAAGAGCTTTAGTCTTTTAATTTATCATAAAGTTGGGAGATTGTATTAAAGGACAAAATAAAGATAAAACAAATTTAAGATGAAGGAACCAAAAAAACTTACTTATATGAATCTCTTTATAGTATAAAATTATCCTGAGATTCTGTGAATAAACCAACTCATTCCCCCTCTCTGTGGGCTCTGAAACTGGTTCCAACTTTTAACTTCTGCAGGTGGTCATCAGATGCAGTGATGAGTCAAAATGTCACACAAGTATTATTCATAAGAAATAAAAAAGCACAAAACCCATGGAATTAATGCTTCTTATTCTGGGTTAATCTCAATTTAAAATGAACACCTCACAGATGACCACAGTCAGCTCCTGGCAGCCGAGCATTATGCTCTCCTATACACAGGCACACAGTGGTGCTCATTGCGAAGGCCAGCTGAGAACGGGGCTGGCAAGCGAGAGCCACTCACCCGCCAGTTTCCAGACTCAAATATAATCACCACTGAACCGAGTAAAAGCAAGAAAAGCATTTTCATAAAGAAACTTGGCTTCAAGTAATTTGTGAGCTTGATTTCAGCTTCTCAAAAAACCCCATCTACCCCTGCCTTCTCCCCTCCCTGTCTGGGAGCAGAGGTACTACATCTGTGTTCTGCCTTCTTGAATGTCTTCTGGCCAGGCAAACGCAGCTCTGCCCTTCACTCTACTTGAAAATGAAGGAGGGTGCAAACCCCACAGTAATTTTTCTTTCAGTACTTAAAACACAGTCTATTAAGTGTTAAATTAATATCCCTCAGATTTTTGGAAAGGCAGGATAAATAGTGTCCTTCCTCAAGTAATCATGGTTCTTTCCTTCATGCATGTGACATGTACAGGTTATTTTTTCAGTCACTCAGAGGGGAAAATAACCAACCAAACCCCACAAGGATGGGATGCAGGGCAGAGCACACTGAGATTTACTGTAAGCAAACAAGTGCTCTGACAACTTTTTTCCCCTTTCATATATCTTACTGAAAGGAAAGGCATGACCAAGGCAATCCCTCAGATGGCATCACAGGGTGCTGGCCGGTGTGGGATGGAGGAGCTCCCGTGCACAGCATTTACCATCGGGAAACCAGGGACGAAATGGGGGGGTGTGTGTGGGAGGTCTGACCTCCCTCCAAACCGCAGCCCCAAAACCTACACACGGAAGGCAGATGCCCGGCAAGTCCAACACCTCCGGAGCAGCTTCCACTCGCAGCCACTTGGTGCCAGCAGCGGATTCTGCATCCACACACCGGCAAGGCTACAGTAAATAATGAGATATAATGCTGTCCAGTGTTCTTCCTGCAAGCCAGGACACCCAAGATGCTGAAGAAATTAGCCTAAAACATAACAGCTAGTATTTAGAAAGTCATTAAAAGCCAATGCAATGCGCAAAGAAAGCGAAAATATTTGTGGGAGGGTAAGAGGGCAGGAGAAATGGGGCACAGCACTGCACTCTCCCACTGCCAACCTGACCCAGCTT